CATCCCCTTCTAGATTAAGCATGCATGTGGATGTCTGGCTGTTCTGGCACTGTTCACTGATCATTTGGAAATAGCTTGTGAACTGGTGTTGGTACAAATACATGGTCAAGAACCCCTGTTCCACAGTTAATCAACCTTTCTCCATAAGCTGCCAGCTACTTACAGAGAATTTGACTTTGAATCTATAGATTGATAATAATGCAAAACAAATAGCTTTAGTTTTTTCTAGGGCAAATACCATTGTCAATAATTAAGGATGCCTGACACTTTCCATTTCAGTGCCCTTGTTTCAGCTAGTTATACCTTTGTCATACTTTAATCACTGGGGTTAAACACTCCCCAGTCTGGGTGGCTACCTGAGGTGACACTTCGACAGAAAAGACAAAAAAAACTATTAAAACACAAAATGGGGAAAATGCAGGGTTTTTTTGCCAATGTTAAAATGTATTTCATATTCAGTTTGCTGAGAAGCATTTGTATTTTCAGATGCTGCACTGAATACCCAGTTTAGGTTACTTCTTTGACTTCTCACCTAATACCTAACTCTGCAACTGCATTTTCTGAATATGATTATTTTTTTAATGTGAATATTCAGTAAGATCACTGAGGAAAAAAAAGGATTTATATTAAAATGCTATGACATTTTTTCTGCTGAATTACTGCTAAACAGGACTTCAGAACAAGTTCTGAACTATAGACTACTAAGCAAAAGACAGAGTCAAATAATAGCTTATAAGCAGCAAAAATTACCATTAATTCTGGAGGAAATATAAGCTCCTGGGTGGGATCTAAGGGCTGGAATTCATCTGCTGAAAACAGTCTGGTAGAAACCTTAAAAAGAAAGAAAACAAGCAAAGGCAAAGAAATTACTGTCATCATTAATTCCATAAATATAAAATAAGGCAACCTGAAAACCTAACCATGATGGGCCCACTGAAGTCAGTAGAAAATTAGTCATTCCATTATTATTTGGATTTGGTGCTAAATTGCCATGCACCATTTGGAGCTGCTGAGGTGAAGGAAATGTTTGTAACAGTTTCTCTAAGTTCACTGCTAACACAAATGACAGTGCAGAAGCAAGCAACTGAAAGACGTAAGTACAGAAAATTGAGAACAAAGTCAAATATTAATATGGGTAAGAGGTTTCATATAAAATTACAATCATAACTCTGGATTTTAAGACCAAAATAGTTCCTCAGACTCAAGCCAGTGGTTAGATTCCTAAAAGATTGGTGCTTACATTCAGATCATCACTGACCAGCGATTTCAGACAATTTCACATATGTCCTGATTTCTTGCATGATATGATGATCACTGTAGGTGATCTCATCAGAGCTGAGATTAATGATAGTCCTGAACTTGAAGAACTACTCAGATCTCAGCTCTGGAGGTCCAATCTACCTTATACCAACTACCTGTCACATCATCACCACCTCATACAAATATACATAAAGAATTCTTAATTTTTAGAAATATCTCCAAATATCTTGCAAGGAATAATGTATCTTATTTTACAACTAATATTATGTGAGTAAGGTAGAGTATTAAATGACAGACTGTACTGCATTTACTTTAATTACAAGAAAAAAGCCAAGCATTATTTTATTAAGTTTTATATTTAAATAGGACAGGTAAAATACTTAAAACCCTACCTTCTCTTCCTTGTCAAACAAATCATCTTCCTGATCACAGCAACACTTTCCATTTGCTTTCCTTTGACAACAAACGGATTCCTAAAGTAGGAATATTCCATTAGTGAAACACTGTCCAGAATGTCAATCAGTTAAAGTCTGCTTAAGCCAGTAAAAGTGTCTATTTCAATAAAATTCTAGATGAAGTTTAATAATAAGCTAAATTGGAAGAACTGTGTTTTAAAGAAGTAATATTCAAAACCAAGTTAAAATCATCAGATGTTGAAGTCCTTAATACAAAATAATTCATACTATGTGAAATTCAACTGACCTTGTGAAAGCACACATAGATGGCTTGTATTATTTCTTTTACTCACTGTCCACTCTCTCATCTTTCACTGTAGGTTTCTGAAATGTTGCATTACATGTTAAATTACTAAGAACATTAATGCAAATTCTGCTTTCATTTATGCCAGTCCTGAACCACAGTAAAACACACACAGTTATTTCAGATTCCTCTTCATAACCTAAGCTAGACACCAAGTTCGTGTGTTAAATCAGTTTTCGTAATGTGTTAGGCCACTATAAATCTTACTCAGATCTACATCTCTTAACAGAGAAAAGAGATGATCTTGATGAAAATCTTGATGGTCTGTATACAGACATGCACTAATAGGCACAATCCAGTATTCCTATTATCACTACTTCTTACCTTACAGAAGGTTTTACAGGCATCTAGGATTGGCCTATACCCAGTACAGCGACACAAGTTTCCTGAAAAAATAGGAAATCAGTAAGACACAGTTTTGTTCTAAAGTACACGGCTTTAAAATGTCTTTATATGAGATTTGTGGTTTTGAAGCTTAGCTCTCCAAAAGATAAAAAAGATCAGTGTGACAAGACTTGGACAAGACCTGCAGCCCCTGAGGAAAAAAGCTACTATTTCAAGGTGAGTATGGCATACTTGATAGTTGCACTAGAGGGAATGCCATCTACAGCTTAGTATGCAGGAGGATAAGAAATTGTGTAATATTCTTCACCCACTCAGAATGTTTTTCTCCTTTCCCTTACTTCTAATAGTGAAGGACGTTAGCATGGTACTTCCACCTAAGTTCATCTCACAATAACAGGAAATGCTTTTGGCTCCACTTGGACTCTAGAGCACAACAGATGACAGAAGGCTATTTTACCTGCACTCTGCAATAAATGCTCACTCTTTCCCTTACTGAAAATGGTCAGCATCTCTCTACCTTGACTGCTTTATTCCTACCACAAAGGGCTGTCCTGTAAGATTTATGACACTGTAACTCCAGATGTAACAGGATTTCAGAGATGTTCAGATGCAATTACTTCTCCAATATGACATAATTTTTGCACATCTGATTTAAAGTACTTCAAAAGATATATATGGGGATGTTTCGAACAACTGTCCCTGAAATGATCCACAGATCCATGCTTCATTTTCCTGAAGAATGACAAGGAATACAAGTCCTGTATCCAGGAGGAACTCTGCTTGGGAGCACTATTTGTGTGAAGTGCATACATACATGCATGCACATGTACTGATACAGACATGCACTCACACAAAGTATCTGGAGAAAATAATTTGAGGACATATCTACAAATTAAAAAATGGCAATATTTACCAGCCAGAGCTGCAATCATCTGTTCCGGCATTGGTTCTGGGTAGTTTCTTAGCAATGTGTATATGGACATCACCATTCCGGGGGAGCAGAAACCACACTGGGAGCCATGGCACTTGGCAAGCCTCTCCTAAAATGAAACACCGTAACTATCATTCCTTCCAGCGTATATCACCAGTCTAAGGAACTCCTAAATGACACCATACCAAATATGGTCATAGTAAATCAGATTTTTAAAATAAAACAATTTAAGCAATCTCAAATAAGAATAATTATTTTGGGTGTGATGTCCAAGCATATCTCACCAAGGAAGCTAATTAACCTTCAATGGACTTCTATCGTTTTTGCCTTCATACTAAAACATCAGCTAAAGGGGTACTGTCCAAGATGTGTCATTACCTCAAACAAAGCACAAACCCGATCACCCCAACAGTTCTTAGATACTATTTGATCAGGCAAGATCCACCACGAAGCGTATCTCATCAGCCTTGATCAACCAACCATCAGAAACTTGTGCTGTCATCTGTTACCATTTAGCAGGGAGAATAATCATAATCTGAAACTCCCAAGCCCTAAAAGCACTGCCACTCAAGCCAGCCCATGCAAAGGAAGAAATCAGTTACTCTTACACTCTTACACAGTGATACTGTACTCTCACCTGAACTGGGTGAACCCTGGTTTTTGTACTTCCAACACCTTCCACTGTGGTCACTGCTGCACCATACAAGCAGCAAATGGGAAGCAAACATGCATTTGCCGAGTAATGTCTTTGAAACATAAAGGAGAATAAATACCATTAATATTATTTTATTATCATATTCATTAATATTATTTTGCAATCAATCAAGGCATAGTCTATGCTTACAAAGCAGTCATTATCATCATTTGGAATGAGAATAACCTTTATGGAAGGGATCATTTACTAGCTGTGTCTCTTGTCCCCACTATATAACCCACATCTGTGAGGACAGTTCTGCAGAATTTCTATTTTCTGAATACTTCAGTCTTTTCTAATTGCCCTCTTGTCTCTCCTGCTCACAAGCAACTCGTTAAGCACATTTTGGAGCAGGAAGATGAGGAAAGGAGGGCTGGTGTAGTAAAGGATTACTGCTGCATAATTATAATAAAATTTCTGACTCAAAGGAAATTCTTACGTAAAATAAATATCATTCTGAATAGGAACTATACACTAAAAATGAAAATTCCTCAAAGCTTTTCAGCATCAGCAATATAATGCTTTGGTTTACTATAATTAAAATGTTTCTTGTCAAGTGTCATTCTCACTGCTTCAATTTCAACTCTTAGAATAAATGTAAACCTATTCATTCGCATTGAATTCCAATATAATGCAATTGCCAAAATGAACACCTGGAACATTTTGACTTTTTCCCCACCTAAAAAAATATTCAACTGACAATGACATGTTACTGTTTAACAATTTGACTGGTGTTTTCTCAATTTAGAAGTAATTTATTCCAATTTTTACAACTCTTGAGTATCAAAGTCCTTTTGTGGGTGGGCTGTACGAATGGAGTTAAAGGGCTCGTAAGACTCAAACTTCTGCCTGCCCTATCTTCCCACCAGTCATACGACACTGCTGGTTTTGTCTGGGATAGAATTACCTTTTTTTCACAGTAGCCACGGGGGGCCATGTTTTGGATTTGTGCTAAAAACTGAGTTGATAACACAGGGATGTTTTAGTTACTACTGAGGAGCGCTTACACAGAGTCACAGCCTTTTCTGCTTCTCCCTTTTCTGCGTCTCACCCCACCTCACCAGCAAGTAGGCTGGTGGTGCACAAGGAGTTGGGAGGGGACACAGCTCAGCATATAAAGCTAGGAGAAGGAAGAAGGGGAAGTTCAGAGTGATGGTATCTGTCTTCCCAAGGAACTGCTATGTGCAATGGAGCCCTGATTTCCTGGAAATGGCTGAACACCTGCCTACCAAAGCGAAGTGGTGAATTTAATTCCTTGTTTTTCTTTGCTTGTGCACACAGCTTTTGCTTCACCTATTAAACCGTCTTTATCTGAACTCAGGAGTTTTCTCACTTTCACTGTCCAACTCTCACCCCTCTCCCACCATGGGGGAGTGAGTGGCTGTGTGAGACCTAGTTGCCAGCTGGGGTTAAACCAGGACACAGAGATGCAGGTAGAAGCCACATTCTAGTTGTCAGTGAACAGGGTGTTAAATGTGTACCTCCTGAAAACTCCTCACAGGAGCTACCAGCATACATGAGCAAATTAAGTGCTTGAGAACAATATATTAGCAAATTTGCAACATAGCTGAATCAACAGTATTTTTTTTTTACAGCAGTCTCTTTTGGATTAAAGTGATCCTTTGAATTCTTTCACTGTTAGGTACAGATTCTACAAATTTATTTATACAGTTTCATATCTGGAAATGGTATCTACAGCCACAAAATTGTGTGGTTTTCCAAATTTTCTGTTAAGGATACTGTATCTTCTTTGAAGCTGGCTCATAAGTTGATATCATCACTGTGCAGGCACCACAGCCACCTCCTCCACAGCCATACTTGGTTCCTGTAAGATGGACTGAAAACACTGTCATTAGGGAAAAAAAATAAATAAATCAGATTGCATTCTGGCCTTCATTCTGCACAAAAGCTTGAGGCCATCTTTTTGCTGAACCACTAAGGAACATACAATTGGTTTGGTATGACTGCATATGTATCAGACTCCTTTCTATGTTGGATTGAAATTTTCAGTGAAAGCAAGATTGAATCTAAGGAATGACATGACAAAAATCCTGGTCTCAAGAAAACTGAAAACTTGATTTTAACGTCTGTTGGAAGAGGAGTAAGTTTGGATAGAAAGAGGAAGTGAAAAATAGTTTCCCAATTGAAAATATGAAAGAAATATGTAAAAGGCAAAACAGCTATATTCCTGAAGTTCCAATTGAACACTAAAAGAAATATCCCTTCTTTTGCCAGAGGGCCCATTCATAGTCATGATATTAACCTTGCTTCCCATCTGAAAAATCACACTTATGAGAGAAGTACTCATTTCTATGAATCTGTAACAGTGGCCAACCTGAAGCTGTGAACTGACAAACAGCTAATCTGATGTTCTACAGCCACCAAAAGGAAGATGACTTACTCCCTATTTCTTCTGCCCTTCCTCTTCATACTCCAAAACCCAAGATCTCTTGCACTGAGTCTTTTTCTCACCTGTGTCTTCCATGAACTAACTAATGATGAACTGACTACTTGGCAGCTGAGACCCTAATCCAGCTGGAAGAGAGACTTCTACAGAACTCCTACTCTATCAAGCTGTACATACACCAGCCAAAAGGTTCTTAGGTTTCTTTACGGGGGCAGAGGTACATACGGATCATGCCTGATGACATAATTTTGTTTAGGAAACTAGGCTAAAAATACAGCAGTGCAAGGAAGACTATTTGGCTTAAGAAAGACATATAATTTAATACGGTCATTTTATCTTAAGGGAGTCATAACTTCCTTAACCTGGAAAATCACCTTTTAATTATAATTTCTGAGAATTTTGTTCTGATAAGGCTTTCAAAAGAGTGACGTATTTGAAGTGACTTTCAAATAAGGGAACAGATAAGAAAAGGATACGTCTCCTTCGCAGGTAAGATAACAGCATTTGTTCAGGATCAGCATTTTTCTCTATTACCTGCAATAAGAAATGAAAAACAAGGTTTAACAAAGAAACCAAGGATTTTCAAAATACAGGGCACAGACTATATTCTCACAAAGCCAGAAGAGAATACTTCTCTAGTTCCCTCTCTTAGAACTAGACTAATTGCAAAGACCACGGAACAGTTTGGGCTCCTGGAAATTTCTTCTCAGACAGATAGGCTTTCCAGAAAAGAAGTAACAGGGCACCTTCCAACTACTAAAAATAACTGCTGCTCAGTGAAAGGTCATACTGAGGCCACACTAGAAGTAAAAATGCAGGAGAATTTTGCTACGATAGAGGCAGCATAGCATAAAGAATGTTTTGCAGATTTTTAGAGTGCTCCTGACACTTTAATCTACTGGGATGACCACTAGAGAAGCCTGTAAGACTAACAGCAGGATCCAGTTTTCTTCTAGCTTTATATAAACTTTCACTTGCTGTAACAGACTAGCAATAGAGAGCAACAGAAAAGTCCACATTCTTGACTGATTACAGTATTTCTTATTCCATTGCTTAGAATCAGCTAGTCCATTCCACTTACATTGAATCAACAGCCAGTTTAATTCTTGCAATATTATCTTTGGCCAGTATGCTGGCCAATCCACATTTTGGCACATGAGTCTTGCTGACTTTCTGTTGTGCCTCTGAAACTGTAATACCATCTGATACTTCTCCAATAGCATTGAAGATGAGAAGCCAGGCATTTACATGAAAAACTAGCTTGCTTGCCAGCCAAATTTGATACCCAACTGAAAATTCATTTCTTTCTGATGTGTTGTTTCCCTCAAACGCAGCAGAGCTAGCTAAAACGGGATGTCGTAATCGTATTTGTCCTCTTTTGCTGTTTCTCCCCTTCTAACAGCACTTGCTGTACGCAGAAGAGCATAGTAGCATGTGGGGGTGGATTCACTTCCTACCAGCGAGGAGATGGGAAGGAGTGCTTCTGGAAGCTTGTGTGAGCATTCAGTTAAGTCCGAGAAAACCAAATCCGTGCCCACGCTCTTCGGGGTTACTTCTCGACCAACAGCCGCCCTTTCTCCACACTCTTTCCGGACAACACTTACCTTCCTCCCATTCACATAGAAAATCAGGTCGTCGGCAGCCGCTCCTCGAACAGACATCGCGTCCCCGGACGCAACCAGCCACAGCCGGAGGGGCCAGGGCCGCGGGGGACGGGAGAGGGGCGGCCCGAGCGTCACCGCGCCCACCGCCGGAGGCTGAGCCTCCGTGCCTCAAAACGTGACTCGTCGGTTGCTCCTGACATCGACAGTCAATCACGCAGTTTATGTACTGGATCCCTTTAAAGAGTATTCAAACCTCGCGCTTTCCGAAAGGACGTGTTCGTTCCTCCAGAGCAAAACGGCAACGTGAGCGTTGTTAACGGTTGTGACACTAGCAATTAAATCTCCGAAGGTAATTTTAAATTGTTGTAGAATCCAACATTGTAGTGGTGATGATCACAGTGGGAATTTCGCATATATCTGCACTCACAAAATAATCACAGTAACTTCCAGGTATTACAAGCATTTGTAAGGGCTACTTGTGCAAGCAAGGACTTATAAAATCATAAATATTTTCCTCTTCCTGTTGAATCTAAATACATAGAATTCATTTTCCTACAAATTTTAAAACAACTGAAGTCGTTAGTAGTAGTAAAATAAAATATTAAATGTAAAAAATGGGTAAAAATAAAAAGTGATTGAATGAATATGAGAAAAAGCAACTTTGAAGTGATAAAAAGAAATCCAAATTACCTTATCCTCAGAAAAATAGTCTTAATCCCTGCGGCAGCTGCAGATTAATTTTTATCTCAACTGAGTTGTTTTTACTTCTTTTTCCTGGCAAGAGCTTCTAATGTATCAACTGATCTGGTAAAAAAAGCACATTTGGTAAAGATTCAACAGGCAGCGTCTCATTATTCATGCAGTACCTAAAGTATGCAACCATTTTGCAGAACAATTAAAAGAACTGCGTCCTAGAAAACAAAGTCAATTTTCTCTGTGCATGGAACATCAATTTTAGCAACAAAACAAGGCTGGAGAAACCCAGGGAAGAAGGGCAGTAGTAATAGTAACATGATTTCAGAGTTACTGAAAATAACTTTGCACATCTTCAAGTCATTTTCTTTATCCTTCGGTACTTGGAAAGATATTTATACTAAATGGAACAGAAGAAACTAAGGCATAAAACCCTAGGCCTTACACTTCTACTGCAAATGAGATGCTTTTATTTGCAACACTGTAGCAGCCTAGCTGGTAACACTTGAGGCTGTGTGGAGTAACAAGACCTTCACTAAGGAAAGAATTAGGACCATTTTGAAAAAGATTGGGATTTTTTTTTTTTTTTTCTGAGAAAATGAAGCGTGTGCTTCTATTTCCAGCTTTCAAACCATGGCCAATAGAGAAAAACAAATGCTTTTTAAAAATCACTGTGTTTTGCTCCTGCAGTGCCAGCATAGGGAGCAAAAGTGGTAACAGATACTTCTTTTGCATTTCTAATAACACAGCTGGTGATGCTGATAAACAGTGAAAGCTAGAAGAACATTTCAGTTAAAAAAAAACCAAGCAATTAAATACAAACTTGGTAAAAAATACAAAAAATGTATATTCTATGTGTAATTATTTTTAAAATAACATTGAATTTCCATATTGGTGGAATACTTTTTTCCCATGAGGTTCTTGCTGTCCTTGTTGCTGTACATTTACAATCTTTGCATGCTCTCTGGAACTGGTGACCACAGCTAGACAAGCTCTGTTTAGGGGATAAGGCCCCCTTTGTAAACTACCTTGCTAGTGGAATATTTAACTCCAAATTCATATATGGAATGTTCTACAGGATGTGAGGATGGAGGCACGGACCCAGAAGTAGAGTGCAAGCTGGATCATTTATTGAAAAGATTACACGATATCTGTATGCTTCAAAGCAATTAGCAAAACCCATCTGTGTTTGCCTTGCGGTTACATCAGGTGAAAGGTCTATCTGATTTTCTTATCGACATCCTCTTTCCAGTTCCGTCGTCCTTGTTTCTTGCCAGTTCCAACATCTTCCAAATACCAGTCAGGGACAGGTCACTCTTAACTGCCTACTAAAGTTCCTCCTTCCCATGGTCACTCTTAATTGCCAGCTTTGATACATTCCAACCCCCACAACAGGATCTTTGGGAAACTGCCTTGGAGCTACAGAATCTCATTACAAAACAAAACAAAACAAAACCCACAACAAAAACCTGTAAATAATGCTTTTGTGCCCCTTTACTGCTTATGGTTAAAGTTTAAGACCTACATGTAGAAGGGACCCACCTGAAAGCTGTATCTAGCTTTCCATGTACGAATTGTTTTTTTTCTGTCAAAATATGCAGCTGAAATTCTGGTATCTCACAGGAGAAAGACATCAGCTCCCCTTGCTGAGTTTCATGAGATTCCTCTTGCCCCATTTCTCCAGGCTGTCCAGGTTCATTTGAATGGCAATGGAACCATCTAGTGTTTCAGACACTCCGCCCATTTTTGTATC